ACTGACAACTGGATATATAATTGTCTAAAATTGTAGCTCCTTACTGTATTATTTTTTTAAAGCGTATTAAAAGTACCTTCTATCTGCTAGCCTGGTCTTCTTAATGCTTAATATATTTAAGTATGCTTTCTGGATTACCAGTAGATCGTATGTGTGACATGTGTTCACCCTATTTGATTTTAAATGGTGAAACACTGGCAATTGAAGTTTCCCATAATTATCTGATAAGGCCTCATATTTCCATTGCATTTCTTGCTTCTCAAAAGCTATTATTATCTAAGGTAGATTGCCGTTTCGACTTTATCTAGGTATCATCATACCCAGCGAGACTCCAACTATGACAAGGCAGCGTATAATCTAGCCACGTTAGCCACTACGCCACACTTTTACGAGTAGCCTTGGGTCACAAAGCATATGCTAATTTCAATGTAAACTTAAGGACTATTCATTTCATTGTGTGAAAGCTCAACTACCAGTCCTTCAACCCTTCAAACTAACATTGACCTGCTTTGTCTCGACAGTCCAGTGGCTTATGGCAATCTCATATTCCTACGAGTCGCACCCCCTTGTTTTTGCATGTATATTAAGAGCTACTTTTTTACTGTTCTTCACAGGCACGCCTCCAAGCCGAAATAACCGATATCTACGCACTAGCCGTGACAAGTCCACACAATCTCCACCACAGTCTCCCATCGTAGTTCCCGAGACTCCACAGCCTCCACGTTCTTCATCTGTCTTAAATACCCTGACCAAGGCAACATATCTCATCCAACCGCGGACTTCTGTGCCAAAATCCCCTCATCTACTGAGTGCTAGTTGCAAGATACGCCAGTCCGCTGTGAGTCGGTCATCCGGAGCAAGGACTCACTTAGCCACTAAACAAACGGCTGCTCATGTAGACAATGCTGCTCGAATGATGATGGTAGCCAATGGAAATGCCAACGTTTTGACTCATCTCGCAATAGCCAGTCGCCGTGGAAACTACGACAGCCTCAATTATGCCCCTATGGATCAAAACGTGCCTTCACAATCGAAATCTACGCAACCGGCCAGGATTGGAAGTAATGGCCTGGGTCTAGA